AAATTCATTCCTGGATCACACTTTGCATTTCATCATCATATCTCCTTACTCTTTTATTCTTGATCAGTTTTTCAGTCTTTGCCTTTCATGATTTTGACACTTTTTTAAACAGTACTGGCCAGGTATTTTGTAAAATGTCCCTCAGTTTGTATTTGGTGATTTTATGATTAAATTCAGATTGTGCATTTTGGGGAAGAATTCCTGGAAGTGATATCATGCCCTCCTTGGTGCATCATATTAGGAGACACATGATATATTCTTGTTACTTAACCATTTAGGTAGGACATTAGATATCCCAGCTGTATAACTTATAATTTTCCTTTGAAATATATTTTTCCTTAGTTGTCTTTATGTATATTCTAATTTCCAAGCCCAAATGACAGCATACAGCCCAGTGATTTATTTGACTACATAGTGGTAAGCATCCATTCTTTAAATAAATACATGGACAGTCCGTGACTCAACAGTGGTTCTAGTTAATGACTTTTTGACTTTATGATGGTGTAAAAGTGATATGCATTCAGTAGAAACCACACTTCAAATTTTGAATTTTGATCTTTTCCTAAGCTAGTGATGTGCAATGCCCTGTAATAATGCTGGGCAGTGGTAGTAAACCACAGCTCCCAGTCAGGCACACAAACACAAAGGGTGAACCTTTTTTGGATATTGTGTTCTGAGCACATGTAACGTAGGCCAGGCTGTGATGTTCGGTAGGTTAAATGTATTAAATGCATATTCAACTTATCTGTTTTTCAGCTTATGGTGTGTTTATTAGGATGTAACCCCATTATGTCAGGGAGCATCTGTATGAACACTTTATAATGAGTACTTTTTTTTTTTTAGTTTAGTCCAAGGACCCTTAGTCTATAAATTATCTGATTTCCCATTTAAGAAAGGAAAGGAAAAGTGACCTTGAATTTTATTTCATTTTATTTGTTTAATATGTTTTTATTGATTTCAGAGAGAGAGAGGGAGAGAGAGAGAAACATCAGTGATGAGAGAGAATCATCGCTTGACTCCCTCCTGCACACCCCCTACTGGGGATCCTGCCCGAGACCCGGGCATGTGCCCTGACCAGGAATCAAACCACCCGTGACCACCTGGTTCATGGGTTGCTCAAACACTGAGCCACACAGGCTGGACTATTTTATTTTTTAATCCTCTATCGCTTCTCTTGGTGGTAGTAGTACCACAATCCAGGGCTCCTGACTTGAAAACAAATTTACTCTGCCTTAGCCTCCTTCCTCAGAGTTATTACATAGACACTGGAGTCTTATCCAAGGATTCTGAAATCATATTGGGATGTACCTAGCCTGCTCCTTGACTACTGTTTCTGAATAGATGTGCTTTGAGTAGTTTCTTAAGTCTGAGTGTCAGGAGGTATGATTGGTGCTTTCTTGTTCATATTCTTAATTTAGACTTCACAGCACCCTTTTGAAGTAAATTTTCATTTTAATCATTTTATACATGAGAAAATTAAGGCGATGAGAGGAATTCAGTCTGTCTAATTTTAGAATTTATATTGTTTCTCTTACACCAAGCTTTTGCTCCAAGAAGTGCCACCAGTTCAGACAGTTTGGTATTTCGTGCAGTTTCTAGTCTAATTATTACCTAAAGATTTGATGTTTTATGCTTCCTATTTTAGGCTATAATCATACTAAAGGACCAGTGAAAAGGAGATATATCACTAGAATAGAGGTGGATTGTCAGTTTATAAACCTGTCATTAGAAATAATTTGTCCACAATCAGGATTGAATGTTTATTTAATTTCCTATTAGTGGGGGCAGGTTGAGCCCTACCCCATGAAAGGCAGTCAGAACTAGATAACCTGATTTTTACCTGTTGATTGAATTAAGATTCAGTCCCTGTCTTTAGAATCATGTTATTTAGCTCTGGATTATAAACCATCTACAGAAAGGTATTGGATGGATATAGGCTTCTAGTGGCATCTTGTGTACTGTATAAAGTCAGAAAATGAATCAACTCTAATTCAGCAAATTAATCTTAGGTATTTAAAAAATATTGACCATGATATCTTTAAAAGACAGAGGCTGTATTCAAAAACAGATTTTTTTAATGGTTGAAGAAGCACTCAATTTCTAAATCAAATTACATTTAAGCAAGATTCATACTGATTAACATCGTTGGCTTCAGTTTAGTGCTTGAGTGTAAGATAATCACAAATTTTGTGTTTTGACCTGAAACCTTTTCTATTATAAATTACATTTGGTTTAGAAAGTTAATGTCCTGTGTTATTTGAACACTTTTACAAGTGAAAGGGACATCAGTAGTAAGCCTAACCTTTGTTGGAGTTGTGACAGGCCCCTTCCACTTGTCATATAATGCTACGTGAGCCTTTTAAATTCAGATTCTTACAATGTGTCAGAGTCGTCATTACTTTCATTGTACTACTGTAGATGAATGAAATTTAGGAAGTTGTATTGTGTGCTTACTAGTATTATTCTCTCAAGTTTTTGTATGTTTTAAAATCAGCTAGTAGTCCTTTCTCCCTTTCATTTTCTATTTTGCTTGCTTCCAGTTTTTTCTTGTCACTGCTGCTTTCTCTGATAAGTGGTTTCCTTTTTCCTCTTTGTTCTTATTCTTTCCATCTGGGTCTTTTCCCTATACTGGTCTCTTCTCTGGCTTCCAAATCTGAAAAATTGAGCTTGAGTTTAATGAGACCATCTGATTTGTGAACTTTCTCTATAAAATATCCAAGTGAAAGTGATTCTCTCATTTCTCCTTAAAATCTGTATAAAAAGAGTGGAACTCAGTATCTGACTGGGTGGCCTAGTCTAAGCTTGGACCAGTCATATAATTTTTCTCATATCAACTAGATATCTGCCTCTTACTAAACTTAACTAGTCTTGTCTCCTGGAGCCATTCATATCATCGTCTTCCTGCCTTCATGACAGTTTTTAGTTTCCTCATCACTGATTGCTTTCCTTGGAAACTCTCCAGTGTAAAAAGGTCTGTCTTGGTACATTAAAAAACAAACCAAAAACAATGTACTCTAGATTTGGTCTCGTTAGCCAAGTCTAGAACTGAAACATTTCCCTTCCTTTCTAATTTTATTAGTATTTTGGAACCACATCTTTTTAGTAGGCATATCACCCTGTTGAAGCAGAGAAAACATAGCAGCGGCAGTACAGGTCAGATTGCCTAGTTGGAGTTGTGTCTTCACAAGTTAGCTGTGGTCTTAAACACATTACATTACATTACATTGTATTTTGTAAGATGGGGATCATTGTAGTTTGTACCTCATAGGTAAAGTTATGGAAGGGTCAAAATCCATATAAAATGCTTAATTGAAATGTTACGTTTATTATTGAGTTAATGTTATGATTATTTTCTTCATTTGTCTGTTGCATAACAAACCAATCAGAATTTAGTGACTTAAAACAATGATTTATTCTGTGATTGTATGGCTTGACTAGACTCTTGTCCAGTTCTTCACATAGTATTGGCTGAGGTCACTTACTGCTCTGCATTCAGCTGGGGCTGAAATAACCAGGTGGCTTCATTTAACATCTACCATGACCAGAGCTGACGTGGCCTTTCTCTCCAGCAGGGTAGTTTGACTTTTTGAATGCTGGCTCAGGGCTCCAAGAGAACAAAAGGAGAAGTTGCCAGTCCTCTTAAGGGTTAGGCCCAGAACTGGAACAGCAGTCACTTCTACCACATTCTGTTGGTCTGAGCAAGTCAACATAGTAAGCCCAGACTCTAGGGAAAGAAAATAAATTCTACCCCTTGACAGGAGGAAGAGTGGCATACGTGAACCAGGTTGACAGGGGAATTGGTAGAGGCTCTCTTTGGAGACAATCTGCCACAGTTCTGTTCTTTCATAATTAGCTTTCTGAACCAATGTGTTGGTCCCTTTTAATTTAATCTTTAATCCAGTCTTTCTTGCTTTTTTTAAATCTTAATGATTCTTAGCTTTCTGTAATCAGAAGATTTTACCCTTTCTCAACTTTTTATTTTTAACAGCTTTATTGAGTATAATTGACATACAAAGAACTGTACTTAACTTTTTTTAAGATTTTTTTAAAATTTGTTTTTAGAGAGAGAACATTGATGTGAGAGTGAAACATCAATCTGCTGCCTCCCTTATGCCCTCTGGGGATCGAGCCCGCAACCCAGGCATGTGCCCTGACCTGGAATCGAACCGTGACCACCTGGTTCATAGGTCGATGCTCATCCACTGAGCCACACTGGCAGGGCATGATTTCATTTTTTGCTTTAAATCAGTTGTAGGATATAATTATTAGCATGTTAAGATTAAAATTAGTTTAGATTGTTATAAACAGAATTATATAGGAGAAAGTTTTATCTGTTTAGAGTGATCTGTAAACATGTATCTTATTAGCTAAAAGTCACTTAATGAAATTAAAGGTTTACTCATCAGAACTGTTATTTTCATAATTCTACCACTGTCTTAATTTAGTTAGGAAAAAAATAAAACTTTTACTTTGAGCATCTTTACCTGTTGTATTACTTGAATTGTGTTCTTACAAATGAAGTTAATTTTGTTCTCTTTCCTCTGTCATAGACCCTGGTAGTTTCTATTACATTGTTGTTTTCTGCTTAAGTCATAATTCCTCCAGAGTCCCAAAAGATTCATCTCTTATGTTTTTTCCATTCTAATATCATGACTGCCTTGAAAATGGAAATTTGCTAGCTGTTACGAAAATATGGATTATCATTGAAACATGCAGTCTCTCTCGGCATGTAAATATAGCACTGTGGGAGAGGGGGGAAGGGTGATATTCAAATGTATAAACCAAATAATAAACTGAACGCTAACTTCAAATTTCAAGTATTACTGTCTAAAGCATTCTTTTAAGCTACAAATTCATGAGCCTACTGCATTCAACAATTGTATTATTGGCAATGACTGTGTTAAAACTATAATTTAGGCTATAGTATGCTCTTAAGAAATGCAGATTCTTTCAGTTTTGTAAATGTTTTATTCTTATTATGACTTTCTTTTCTTCCCAAGTCTCTCTTGGAAAAGTTCTTGATCCCCAATGCTTCACAAGCAGAGAGCAAAGTCTTCTATTTGAAAATGAAAGGAGACTACTACCGTTACTTGGCTGAGGTTGCTGCTGGGGATGACAAGAAAGGTATGCTGTATTTTTCAGCCTGATTTTTGAACATTGTATAAAATAACATTGTGGAAGTGGTCTCTTTCTAAAGGGTAAGCTTTTTGTTTGTTTGTTTTTTTACTCGCTTAGGTAACTAAATGAAGAACAGTAATGCACTTTTTCTCTCTTTTTAGTCCTGAGAATATGTATCTACTGCCTAATACTGGTATTCTAAAATTACTGCTTGCTGAAAAGCCAATTTTGTGCACAGGAATGTTTCCTCATTGTTTTAAGAAATAGTGATCACAGCATAACTGTAGAGCATTGCAAACAAATGAAATATAATGATACTGAGGTGATTAGAGTCATAGGATATCGTTGGATATTAAGGTTTGGCTTGGGTGAAGGTGAAGTACAAGTTTTATCAGTACATTTTGATGTGTTTTATTATCCAGGGATTGTGGACCAGTCACAACAAGCATACCAAGAAGCTTTTGAAATCAGCAAAAAGGAAATGCAACCAACACATCCTATCAGATTGGGTCTGGCCCTTAACTTCTCTGTGTTCTATTATGAGATTCTGAACTCCCCAGAGAAAGCCTGCTCTCTTGCAAAGACAGTATGTATTTTACCTGTTATATGGAAATATAGTGATTCTTATTATTTGAGTACTGAAATGTACTTTTTTAAATCATAGGCTTTTGATGAAGCCATTGCTGAACTTGATACATTAAGTGAAGAGTCATACAAAGACAGTACGCTAATAATGCAATTACTGAGAGACAACTTGACAGTAAGTACATAATTAATGGTTAATGTGGAAGAGATTATGTTGTTTTATAGGTTTCTGGCCTTTTTTTTTTTTTCATTAAATACAAGATCCTGTCTGCTGTTAAAACCAAAGAAAACCACCTTGTAGAAACCAAAATATTAGACCAAGAACTTAAATGTTCAATTTCATTACGTATCTTGTTAAAAAATTTGTAACCCATGGTTTTCTGCTTTTAAACACATATGCCACTTTATTTTCCATTCCATTCTGAGCAGTGCGTTTTTGTTGTTGTTTTTTTAATTGGGATCCAAATAAAGTCTACACATTGAAATTTTTTGATATGTCTCTTTGGTCCCATAGATTTTCCTATTTTTCTCCGTCATAAATACTAAATTTGAAGTTAGGTGAAAAAATTATCAAGTATCTGCTGCGTGCCAGGTAAAGAGCTAGGAACGAAGATTATAGACTAATGCTACTGTTTTTTGTTGCCTTAGGGCCTTTCTTTTGGGGACTAAATCATTTTATACATTTCACTTCTTCCAGCTTTATTCTAGTCCACTGCCAATTTCCCAAACCAGTTCTTCATTCTAGTGTTGAATTTCTCCCCAAAGAGTTTTTTAAGCAGTGTCAGGTACTTGTTTATTATTACTAAATACTTAAAATTATTTTAGAAAGTGTAAGTAGGGGGCTCCCTACTGATTTGTGAGATTTTTACTCTAATCGAGAATAAGCCATGGATTCTTACAGAATGAATCTTTTTATATCAAATGAAAGAAGCACTTGAATTTGCTAGCTGATTGTAATATATATTTTTCCTGTTTGAAGTGATGAGAACTTGTCATTCTGAAAGGTAGAACCTGAAACCTAGTTACTGTGCTGTATTGTCATCCCTTTTGTCTCCTCCTCCCTTTTTTTTTTTTTGAGAGAGAGAGAAACATCAATTGGTTGCCTCTCCCACACACCTTGACCGGGGATTGAACTTGCAACCTGGGCATGTGCCCTGACTGGGAATCAAACCCGCCACCCTTCGGTGCACAGAAGATGCTCCAACCAACTGAGCCACACTGGCCAGGGCTTGTCATCACTTTCTGAGAGGGCCAGATCTGAAATACTTTCAGCTGAATTTTGATAACAATATAGCATGAAGAGTATTTTGCAACAAATAAGAGAAGAAAATGTAAGGTTCTGATTCTGTCACTATTTACTGTATTACTTCTGTGGGCCTTGATAGTATCATCTCTTATTATAGGTTGATTGGATCAGTTATCCGGCAAGTAAATCTTTTCCCAAACTCCCTAATCCTTGAGTTGGGCTCTGGTTGCGCAGATATTGTCAGCAATAAGCCTAGGAAGAACATCTTGTACCACATTTTTTCATGTTTATGTAAATTTCGATAATCCTTGAAGGTTAGAACTAGAAAGAGATGTTAGAAAACAATCTCATTTTGTCTTATAAAACTCCCTGTTTAATGGGAGTACATAGGCTTCCAGAAATCAATTAGCTGTTTGACTTTGAAAGAAATCTCCTTTCCAGACCCAGAGATATATTTGGTAAATAAATAAAACTAATGGGCGATTTGGGAAATAAAAAATATTAAGATTTTTTTCTATAATCTCAAATTATACAATGGTAAGAAAGACTTGGAAAAAAATGTTAATATTTCAAGCAGCTGAAATAATTTTTTAACCTGCTGAAAAACTGTAATACTAATAAAATAAAAAAATAGAATCCATAATTCTACCACAGGGATAATTCAGTTATTAGAAAAGCTAAATTTATATTTTTAGTTCAGTATCCTGGCTCTTGAATTTCGTGAATTGTGGGATTCTTTTTGGAGTAGTTCTATGAGGGGAAAGTAGTGAACCTGAGCGCCTTGAGCATAGGCCAGATTAGATGATTCTGGTTTAGTTGCACTAAACTCGTGCATCCATCTGTCATTGGAGCTATCAGGACAATCTAATATTCTGGTAACTGTTGATACTTAGCATTTCTATGCTTTCTTATTTCTCTTTACTTTCTATGAATAACCATGAGTTTTCTATATTTGACTTTATTTGAAGACATCTGCTATGTACTTACCATGTTCATAAAATGATTAGGGAGAAAATAAGTGTTTTTATCTTGACATTATCTTTGGTGCTGCTTCCTTTTTTTTAAAGAAAGCCATGATCACATTCTGGTGCCTTGGCATAGTTAAGGTTTGTGGGGGCGTTTTCCCCAAACTCTGAAACATGCTAAAAATCTTTCCTTCTGTTATCAGTTGTGGACATCGGATACCCAAGGAGATGAAGCTGAAGCAGGAGAAGGAGGAGAGAATTAACCGGCCTTCAAACTGTTGTCTGCCTCATTCTAAAATTGACACAGTAGACCATTTGTCATCCATGCTGTCCCACAAATAGTTTTTTGTTTACGATTTATGACAGGTTTATGTTACTTCTATTTGAATTTCTATATTTCCCATGTGGTTTTTATGTTTAATATTAGGGGAGTAGAGCCAGTTAACATTTAGGGAGTTATGTTTTCATCTTGAGGTGGCCAATATGGGGATGTGGAATTTTTATACAAGTTATAAATGTTTGGCATAGTACTTTTGGTACATTGTGGCTTCACAGGGGCCAGTGTTAAAATTGCTTCCATGTCTAAGCAAAGAAAACTGCCTACATATTGGTTTGTCCTGGTGGGGAATAGAAGGGATAATTGATTCCAGTCACAGGGAGGTGTTGTGGGTACTTTAAGTTTTGGAGCACTTAGAGGGCTGTAGTGGAAATGGGTAGCCCATGGATAGCACGTGTGGAACCCTGTGTGTATCTATGGAATACTCAGTCTCAGCACACACCTTTAACTACAGCTGCAGAAGTGTTCCTTTAGTTGTGACCCAATTTACTCTGGATAAGGGCAGAAACGGTTCACATTCCATTATTTGTAAAGTTACCTGCTGTTTGCTTTCATTATTTTTGCTACACTCATTTTATTTGTATTTAAATGTTTTAGGCAACCTAAGAACAAATGTACAAGAGAAGATGCAGTAAAATGAATTGCTTGATGTCCATCACTTCATGTATATCAAGCACAGCAGTAAAAGAAAAAACCCATGTATTTAACTTTTTNNNTTTTTTTTTTTTTTTTTTTTTTGATACTTGCCTAACATGCATGTGCTGTAAAAATAGTTAACAGGGAAATAACTTGAGATGATGGCTAGCTTTGTTTAATGTCTTATGAAATTTTCATGAACAATCTAAGCATAATTGTTAAGAACACGTGTATTAAGTTCATGTAAGTGGAATAAAAGTTTTATGAATGGACTTTTCAACTACTTCTCTACAGCTTTTCATGTAAATTAGTCTTTTGGTTCTGAAATTTCTCTAAAGGAAATTGTACATTTTTGGAAATTATTCCTTATTCCCTCTTGGCAGCTAATGGGCTTTTACCAAGTTTAAATACAAAGTTTATCATAACAATATACTACTAGTAGAACTACTGTTCCAACCATGTCCCATACTCCCCAGCCCCAGCCCCCTGAAAAAACGGTTTTAGGTTCGTTCGTTTGTTTTCAGAGTGCGGGGATTGATTGGAAAAAAAAAAAAAGTAATGTGTTCCATTTAAAATTTTAGTATATGGCGTTTTCTAACTTCGGAAGCCACAATGTTCTTGGCCCATCATGACATTGGGTAACATTAACTTAAGTTTCGTGCTTCCAAAATCACTTTTGTTTTTAAGAATTTCTTGATACTCTTGTAGCCTGCCTTCAGCTTTGATCCTTGATTCTTTCTGTCAGTTGCACACAGGATTACCTTTTTTAGCCTTCTGTCACCAACCATTCCTACTTGGTGGCCGTGTACTTGGAAAAAAGGCCGCATGATCTTTCTGGCTCCACTCACTGTCTAAGATACCCTGCTTCCTTTGCTTGCATTCCCATNTTCTGGCTCCACTCATTGTCTAAGGATACCCTGCTTCCTTTGTTTGCATCCCACAAACTATTTCCCTCATCCTATTTACTGCAGCAAATGTCTCCTTTGTTTTATCTCCCTGTAAAACTCTACCTACCCTGAATGGTCTGTCATTGGCTGCCTTTAAAATCTTTCTTCTTCCTCTCTTCTTTAAGTAATGGGGCTAAGTTATACCCAAAGCTCACCCTACAGACTATTTCCTCAGTACCTTGCAAAAACACCAAACAAAAATACCATTTTAAAAGAGGTGTATTTTTTTCTTTTAGAATGTAAGCTCCTCAAGAGCAGGGACAATGTTTTCTTGTATGTTCTATTGTGCCTAGTACACTGTAAATGCTCAATAAATATTGATGATGGGAGGCAGTGAGTCTTGATGATAAGGGGGAGAAACCAAAATCCCAAATACTGCTTTGTTGCTTGTTTTATTATGACCTCAGATTAATTGAGAACTATCAGCCCTTTGGGACAATTGTCCCCAATACTACATTCAAATAAAAGTGTGATGGCGCCCTTGGGGTCTTTTCAAGGAGAAAAGATCTCATGCATTCAGGACAACAACATAATGCATCTTCACGCACAGCTCTTTTTTTTTTTAATTGATTTTTCTCGACCCCTGGGCCAAGGACATGAAATAATCCATAACTTAGAATTAAGCTAGACTGAGGAAATGGATCTCAATCAAGTGTAAGTAAAGTCTAAAGCTTGTCAATTTGCTTATTTATGTGTATCAGTCATCTACTAAATTAGTTTGATTCTGAAATAAATTGTGGTAATACTTCATTAATACTAGGTATTATGTTTCTACTTAGTAGTTCCCAGTAGATGATTCCAACCTGGGATTTTTTTTTTGCCTTGGATTTGAAAAATAAATTTTTTGTAATTTATTTCTTCAGTTGTCCCAAATCCAGGCTTTGTCTGTTGTCAATATGTAGTTCCAGGAATTTGGAGAATTCAGCGATGTGTTTTATGTGTGTGATGTTGGAATTGTTAAATATGTATGTGTATCCACTTTAGAGTTGTCCTTTGAGTAGAGCAGCACTGTGATCAGGTGAAAGTGTGCACTTTGCTGCAGCTCTGGCCTATGGTCCTGGCTTTTTAAAATAGCTGTTACTTTGTGCTATAGAGATCATGGGAATGCTTGGTGGGGGTGGTAATAAGATTAAAAGAATATATGTCAAGTGGTTTAACTGCAGGGGCTCAAATTTTTTTTTTCCTTCCAGTCTTTCCTGCAACATAGTCATCAATTCTGCCATGGCTCAAAGCATATTTTAAAGTTAGTCAAGGCCAATTTCAGTCTGCAAGCTTAGATTATTTGTGGCCATACCTGAACTTGAGAGAGAAACCTTGATTAAGTAATTTGGGAACTCTATCAATGGTGAGATGTTTAAAAATCTTGAATAGGCTGAATGCATATCCAAGGAGTTTGGATACTTCCCAGCAGTAGCAGCAGCATTTAAATGGTTTATATCATCTTGAGGGGAGGATGGTACTTTATTTGGATGCAAATGTGTCATAGTAGTCACAGCATGAGAGCCTACAATATGTTACAAACTTTCTAACTGGTGCTATGTGCTCAGAGATAGTTTTACATGTCCCTGTAGGGAAAGGTCAGATCTTACATAGCGTTATGATGTTTTGTCATACCACATAGGAAATTACTGTAGTGGAATTGAAATAATATAAAGTTGGTGGCTGAGACTGGAGACTTGTAAAATGGCTAGATTTGGATCCTTTTCTAAATGTGAAATTACATCAATGAAAATACTTCTGTTATCTTGAGTGCATCTTATAGCAGTCACAATCTTAATAACTCCAGCTCTCCTTTTAAAAGACTAGTGACCTAAAAATATTTCTGGGTCTAGGTGGGTATATAAAGAAACCTCACAACAGGCCTCTAAGGAAGATGGTAGTAATCTTGGATGACAGAAGGGTGTTCAGTAACCCATCACAGTAGATCTGTTGCTCGAGCACATCCAGACCGGATGCTCCTCATCTGGCTCCTTTGAAGTCTACTTTACATATGACTGTCAACCCCCACGTATTTGAGAACTTGAAAGTTACTGCAACAGCAAATTCGATAGGCCAACTATTTGAAAGACATCTGCAGTTGCCTTGTACTAGTACTGCCATAATCAATTGATAAGAATGTTCAGCCATCATGTTGGATGCACAAGTGTGTGTGTCTTTGGAGCAGAAACCAAATTAAGAGAATGGATCTATTTAGGCAAAGCTAATACCCTAGGTGATGGCAGAGACTCCCTATAGTTGGTTACTGTGGAAAATTTTTAAAGCCCACACTTGTCTTATGTTAAAGACTTGGTGGTATTAAATCAATTTCCAATTCCAGAACTTCAAACCTACCAATATTTTCACTAGGTGCTTAAAGTTTTTGTCATTGGATGTAGGTTTGGGCCAGCACTGTGAGGTTTAAGACGGGTTTTTCAGAAGATGTTTGAGTCCAGATTTGCAGAATGAATGGGACCCAGCTGGAGGGTACAGCATGTGAAGGCACCAAGAGAGGACCTTCCATGAACATGCAGTGAGGGGCTCAGAGAGCAGAAAGAATTGGACTGTGTTCTGCTATAAGTAACATGCTATGGTTTTCACTTTTAATGGTTTTCATCACCTGAGGGGAACTTGTTTAAAATGCCTGTTCCCAGCACCAAGTCTCAAGGATTACAAAATCTCAGATTGGAACCAGGAATAAGCATTTTTAGCAAAACTCCCATGGGCTGTGTGATTCAGTGTCCACACTGCTAACATCTGTAGGGGTAGGGTGAACACACAGTGCATGGGAAAACAAGGGTAAGACTTGCAAGCCGAAAGCTATTTCTAAAACTACAGTGTGCAAAACAAAGTCCATGGATCTCAGCAGATCTTGTTTCCCAAGCAAGGAGATTAAGGTTAAAGGTTACCTATTACAACAGGTTTTTCACATTAGTGACAGGTTTCGTTTGGGAGGAGGTACAATAGAGAACTTTTGCCGTATCAGGAGAAAAGTACCATGATGCGGATGTTTAAAAAATGAATGCCATTTGTATTGCTTAACATGCCATGGGCAAAAAAATCCAGAAGAATGAACTTAAACCAGAATGTTCATAAGATGTGGACAAATAACTTGCTGACTTAAGTTGGTAAGGAAAAATCTCAAAGTGGACACAAAGCATAGCTAAATATGTAAATTCAGAATCTTAATGTATGAACCTTAATATAAATTAAACTACATAAAAATTTACATATGTGGAAGTGAAAAGATAAGCAACTGAAACAAGATAACGTACATAAAACTGAAAAAATTATAAGGAGATAAAAGTGGGCAAAGGTTTTGAAAAAATTTTCATAGCACCAGGTCTGGCACACAGGAAATGCTTTGGATCAGTTCCTCTTCCCACACCCACCACTGCTCAGTTAGGCCAGCTCCTCCCACCAGGGAGAGGCACTCCGATGACTCATCCCTCCACGCAGAGTGGGGGTGACGCCCCAGCCAGGTTACAGCGTCGCCAGCTGAGAAACTAAAACCACGTTTTCAGTGCTTACTCATCTGCAACCAGCCTCATTCCCAGAAAGTAGGAAAGGGAAGAGCAGCTTCTAAACTCCCTCGGGCGGATCAAGTCTCCTACCCAAGCAGCCACCAGAAGGGACAACCGTGCTGCCCACTCCACTGGCGGGCAGGAGGGGAAACCCAACCCCCGAAGAGCCAACACTTCCTCCTGTTAATAGAACAGCTCATTTGGTGGTGGAGGTGGTGTCACAGAAGGCCGATGACAGGGCCACATCCTTCAGTAAAAATGCACACACAAGGAGCTTTTATAATAAAGGTGGTCCTGGCATTGGGCACTTCTGCCAGTCCAGCTGTTGGCAGCTGTGGCCTGTTCTGATTGGCTGGTGCCCGTGTCATTACCAGTTAAACGTTGTTACTTAAGTAGTACCCTTGGATGAAGGTGTGCTTTACTCAGCCTCTTAAGGGGCCTCCATTAAGCCGTGATCTTTCACGTCTCCAGGCTGCGTCTTTACCGGGCAGGTCCTGATGCCTTTCCATTGCTCTTCCACTTCTTCTCCACCAGATTAAAAATAATTATTAAATAAGCCACCCAACCACTCTATAACTTGCCCGGCCCACAGCCCTTGGAAGAGGGAGCTCCAAATACTCTTATCACTCTGCTGATTGGACCAGAGATGGTTACTCTGGCTCAAAACAGCTGGCCACTAACTGGCTAATGACTTGGGTGTCCTGCACTGAAAAAACGAGCTGGGTCAGTGAGACTGCTCTTTCTAGCATTTAAGCGAATTCTATAAATTGTGGCCAAGTAGTGATAAAACAAAATGCAAAACAAAAATGGTACTAGGAACTCATCTGGATTCT